CGCCTTAAAAAGAAACTTTGTGTTCTTTTAAATGTTCTTAATGTTTATGAGCTATTATGTCATGACCAGACATCATGCGCACAACATCACGTGGTCAAATTCGTTAATAGATGATTCACATCATGGGTTGCATAAAGCCCTAAAAGGATATAGGTTTCATAGGCTATGACACATAATGAGAATTGACTTTATTAAGGACCTGAACCTTGAGCAGTGGATTATACTAAACACATGTTGAACCAAAAGAGTTCGCGTGGGATCCAACAGTACGGCATACTCATGGGCCACCCCAAAGGATTAGGGCGATGGTTTGCGGTAAACAGGAAAGGTGAGGAGCGGCTTCCATCGACATAATCAAAGAGACCCTGCCGATCAGTGCACTGTTATCCAGACTCAGAGTCTTGACACAGAGAGAGAAGAAATTCATTGAAATTCGGTTTTTTATGCAATGGAAGAAAAGATTCTCAATTTCGTGCAAATTAAATAACACTAATTTTAAATAATTTACAGTAAATTCAATTTAGGGCTCAATTCTCCTTATTAGCATTAAAGAAAGATAATTAATCTGTGGGGTACCCTGCAAAACAAGAACATAGTAAAATATACCCTAAAGAAGGGCAGGTTAGTTTATGCAGCAATCGTAGTCCACTTTTATGCAAAATGATACATAAGTCCCCAGTGAAGTCGCCCAAACTGGAACCCCTCCCGAATACTAGGCATATGATGCAATATGACTAGAGGCAGAAAAATGGCCCGACAGTGGAATGAGTGAGTCGCCACCTTGTTTAATTATTAGGATTAAACTAGGAGGAGAAAAAAAAACCCTAAGTGAACTCCAATTTTAATAACCTAATTACAAGATTAATTATCCCAAAGTTTTAAGGCATAAAATCTACGAACCCGAGGTGGATCCCGTAGACCATGTCATGCTGATGAAACTCACTAATGAGATGAATCCTTGCAAGTTGATTAACTGTAATTGACCAATGAAATGTTAAGTGAGTCGACTGCCGCTCGGGTTAAATCCCAAACGTGCCTACGTACTTCCGTTTGAATGGAGATCAAAAGTCGACGTAGTTCCATAGGCCATTGACAAGGCTTTGAATGGTATTGGCTTTAATGCATGAGTGTGTGTATGCTTCGTGCATTTGTTAAGCATTTTTGCCAAAAAATTGGATTGAATTTGATTAGGCGGTTTTGCCAAAAGTGGTTGATTAAGGCGTTTTTAGCCAAAAAGATTGATTAGGCAAATTTGTTGCCAGACGTTTTTGAGTGATTTAGGCGAATGTGGGTATGCTTAATGCATGAGTGTGTGTATGCTTCGTGCATTTTGTTTAGGCATTTTGCCGAAGAATTGATTGATTTTCTGTTTTAGGCGTTTGTTGCCAAAAGTGTTGATTTAACGCTTTTAGCCAAAAAGATTGATTTAGGCAACTTGTTGCCAAAAGTTGATGTGATTTAGGCGATTGTCGCCAAAATTGATTATTTGCAGGGTTTTAGCCAAAATGAGTTGATTTAGGCAATTTGTTTGCCAAAAGTGTTGATTGGGCGATTGTCGCCAAAAATGAGTGATTTAAGGCTTTTAGCCACTTAAGCCGGACTGTTCGAATATTATAGTCCACGAGTGATATAAACCGAATATTCCTGAAATAAAAACCTGCATTTAAGCTAATCATTATTTAATAAAAAAGGAGTATTGCCTATTTGATTGGACATGAATGCATGATGCAGCAGTTTAATTCGAATGGAGTAGAAGAAGGAATTATGCATGAAATGCTAAAATTAAATGAGCAGTGTTTGTTATTACCTGAGTTCAGTCATCGGCCCGCTTTCTTAGCTTCAGCTTGAAAATTCCAAATAAGCTTCCTTCGTTTGGGGAATAAATTAATTAGAATTAATTAATTTAAGTGGCCAAAATATCACAACGGCAGAGTTAATAAAAGAGCCTACACTAAATGCAGAAAAACAGTTAAAAAGAACCGCAAGGAGCGTAGGGGAGAAGGAGCGTCGTCAACACAGGGACTGAGTGAGTAAACTGTGGAAACCGGGGGCTATTATTTATAGGGAAAACCCGGGCTGGGGCCTGGGCAGCTGCCGCCTATGTCCAGCGGCCGTTTGCCGCCGTGTCCGGGCCGTCGCCGCCGTGTCCGGCCTCCGCCGCCGCCGAGGCAGGCCGGCAGGCACTGCCGTGGCCGGCGGGCTTGTGGGTCTTACGTTCAAAAACCTTTTTCGAAGAGAAGCCTACACTAAATGCAGAAAAACAGTAAAAGAACCGCAAGGAGCGTAGGGGAGAAGGAGCGTCCGTCAACACAGACTGAGTGAGTAAAACTGTGGAACCGGGGCTATATTTATAGGGAAAACCCGGGCTGGAGGGCGGCAGCTGCCGCCATGTCCAGCGGCCGTTGCCGCCGTGTCCGGCCGTCGCCGCCGTGTCCGGCCTCCGCCGCCGCCGAGGCAGGCGGCAGGCACTGCCGTGGCCGGCGGGCTTGTGGGTCTTACGTTCAAAAACCTTTTTCGAGAGTTCCATACCTCCAAAAAATATTTCGGGACCAGTTCTGCGATCCTCGTAATTTTCTAGACGTTCTAAGTACCATATTGGCATACTTTCGGTGAACTTTTTTGAACGGCCTCCGGTCCGGCCGGACTATTTGCAGTACGGGAAAATAGGCTTTTTGAGCCTCAAAATTTGAGTATTCACACCATGCTCTTTTCTCACAATAGTACGCAGCTCCAACCCTTTCTCAGATAAAGGAGAGTAAGGCTCCTTATCGGTACCCCCACTACCCCTTGTTTCTCCTCTGAGGCTCAGCAGTCTTCTGACTAGTGGAGGGAAGAATTGAAGAAAATAGGAGCGGGCAACCTAGGAAGCTCGGGCAGAGGCTGTTCGGTAGCAGGAACGTGAATGGGCGATACAATCACCACCTCTTCCTGATGCCTAACGCTGGATCGCTGAGATCCCGAACCTCCCCCAAGACTTTGTATAGTCCTAGCAGTTACCAGATGATCCCGGTCTGTAGCCAGACGCGTCCTGATCTTCTTGGAAAGTTTTGGAGGCATTTCTACAAAAAAGAAAAAAGTTAAATAGAAAAGTCAATAATAGAACGTGAGAACAATAAGGACCCGACTCACCCTCAACTTCCTGTGTGCCCCTCCTATTTAAAGCCCGAATTTTGGCCCCAAAAGGATGTTAGAATCTAGCAAAGGTACAAGGGGAGGAGGATTTAGAGCATGAGGCTTCAAGGCCTTAACCTGCCTAGCCTCAATGGTAGTTAAGACTCGAGGATGCTGTAATTGGGGAGCCCCTCGACTCCAATTGAAGGGTATCCTAAAGCCCCTTAAGTGACCGATAAGAAAGTAATTCTCTTTCCATTTGCCTTTAATGGACAAGCTCTTTAGGGGCAATAAATTGCAATCCTTTCGAGTAGTAAGATGAGGGTGGTCCTCAACCCCTCTCCAAACAAAGTTGAACATGACATCCAATTGATGCATGTTGAGTAAGAAACCTTCTTACCGAGCTATGTTATCAGCACTCAATATTATACAAATATTGTTCGGAGCAATCTGGCTAACAGTCTCTCCCCACTCATTGCAAAAGGAGGAGATAATTCCCTAAAGAGGGAACTGCACGCCCACTCGGCAACTCTCCGTGTAGATGATCAAGTTTTTCTAGTCTAACCCAGTGTTTGCCCTCATCTCGGACGGAGGAACCCTGATTCTGCATTCATTAGGAATAAGATAGTGCGTGTGAATACCCTCCAAATCACACTCAGACAAGATGGAGCTCAAGCCCTAACCCTTACATTCTCTTGTCAGGAGCGAGCAGAAGCATTTCTTCTCCTCCTCAGCTCAGAAGACTACTCAGGTGTAGTTTCAGCTCGCAGCTAGGGAATAGGAGGAGTAAGGCAAGGGTGACAAGCCGAGGATGAGTCACCACATCGAGCAAAAGAAGGAATCCCTTACAGTCTCTATCGAATCAAACTGGCTTCATCCTCAGGGTCTGACTCAGAATCCACCACCCCTAAAATATGGTTATCCTCTTCTAAACTCATTCGGTCGTCCTCATAACTAGAGGAATCAGGAAGGGCCTTACCTTTGGATTGACGACTAGAACTCATAATGGAGGGAAATAAGAAAAAAACAACAAGTTAACCCTCAATGAAAAAAGCAACGATGTTACCTGTTCCCATGGCTAATTGCTGCTTACTGGCCCTAGGCCCAAAAACCGAAACTCTTAGCCTGCAATTAAAGCACCAGTTATGACATGCCTCCTTCCCATGGCTAATTGCTGCTTACTGGCCCTAGGCCCAAAAACCGAAACTCTTAGCCTGCAATTAAAGCACCAGTTATGACATGCCTCCTTCCCATGGCTAATTGCTGCTTACTGGCCCTAGGCCCAAAAACCGAAACTCTTAGCCTGCAATTAAAGCACCAGTTATGACATGCCTCCTTCCCATGGCTAATTGCTGCTTACTGGCCCTAGGCCCAAAAACCGAAACTCTTAGCCTGCAATTAAAGCACCAGTTATGACATGCCTCCTTCCCATGGCTAATTGCTGCTTACTGGCCCTAGGCCCAAAAACCGAAACTCTTAGCCTGCAATTAAAGCACCAGTTATGACATGCCTCCTTCCCATGGCTAATTGCTGCTTACTGGCCCGAAACTCTTAGCCTAAATGGGCTAAATTTAGGCCCACACATCGTTAACTAACTCCCGCCACTAAAGCGAATGTATTCTTAGTCTTCGGGAACACAAATTGATCTGGAAAGATAAAAAGAAAAAGACTTGCTAGACACTTCTGAAGCAGTAAAAATCATATATTATTTAAATTTAATGGCTTGCGATTCTTTTAAATTATATTACCAAACAGGCCTTAACGTTGAGAAGAGTTATTCTACTATGATCCAAAATACTTTTATATTTATGTAGTTGGGCGGATTATTATCTATCCACATAATGTGCGGGCCTCTACCTAATTGTAATATATCCACTACAATCACTACCTAGTTTAACTGTAAAATCATATCATTGTTTTAAATTTAATAATCAGCTTGAGATTCTTTTAATCATATGTACAAAATGAGTGAGAATTGTACAATATGAATTTTACACAGTTCTATTATCTGCTGGAGAATAAATATCATTGTCCCTTATTGGAGATGGTCTCTGGAAGTTTCAATGTCGGAGGCTTATCGACACCCTTTCGTGAATACTCCCTCCATCTTCTAGCTGCTGCTGCCGCCCTCTTAGCTCTCTCTTTCACTTCCTCGTCTGCAACAACAAACCAAAACACTCTAGGCTTTAGATTAAACTAGGTGCCAGCAAATACACTTTAAGTTTTAATATATATATATATATATATAGAGAGAGAGAGAGAGAGAGAGAGAGAGAGAGAGTTGCATACAAATAAACAATAAAAATAAGTACACTGTTCTAAAGGTAATAATTTGAATTTTCTTTAAAAAAGGACAATAATTTTAATGGCTTGTGAATCCTTCGATGAAAGGCTCAAGTGTATTTTTCACTTGGATTGAATAACTATTGGTACATGCTCTCTTTAATAAAATTAATAATAGGTCCTATTAATGATTTGAATTATTGTATTAATCATCTAAAACACTGTAAATTATATAAAACTTTCAAAAATTTATATAAATAAATAAATAAGAATGAAGGATATAAACAGAATCTCAACTCTCTTTGCTCTATATTTTACAATATAAATATATTATACATACATATTAAATTTGAGGCATGCACGCAAATTTAGATGGACACAGAATATCAACTAGAGGAAACCAAACAGATGGAAGTACACAAGTTTCTTGTTTAGAAGGTTACAAATGAAATTATCACTATGGTTTGAGAAAAGAAGAAGACAGACAATATCATTATCATGCACCAACACTGTGAACTCCAATGACAATGAGATTTTGTTTAGAAAGAGGGATTTTTTTTCAAGGAAAGAAAATATATGCAAAAAATATCAAGAGAAAGGATTTTCCTGTTGTTCCTAAATGTGAGAAATATATCAAAAGAATGAAAATATGCACCATTTTCCTCTCAGACCCACAAAATTAGAATCTTTTAAGTTAGAGAGAGAAAAAAATGGTTGAATTGAGAAAATTACATTATTTAATATGAAAATAGAATCTACTTTCTTTCCTCCTTTTTCCTCCTCTATCCAAACACAAGAGTGGAAAAAAACTAAGAAAATGAAATAGCAATACTTCATTATTTTCCCCTCTTGTTTTCAATCCTCCACTGTTGTCCTTTCTCTCCTCTCCAAACAAAGTGCAAAAGACTAATTCCACTAAGAAAATTAATTATCTTAGTAGGTTTTGCAATTTGGATAGTGAAAAATGTAGCACAATATGACCAATCTTAAACATAAAATCAATAAATGGCTATTTAAATCAACTTAAAAATGTTTAGGGGTAAACTCAGTTATTGATACGACTATTGAACACAGTTTTTTCAACTCAAATTGCCACCTCTCTATCATAGCCGTAAATTACCTGAATTTGTATACTCCTTTGGCTTGTCCCACGTGTTACTCCAGTAGGATCCATTTTCATCAGAATCTTTCTGCTTCATCATCCTTATTTTAGCTTTCTCCTGCAGGCATTAGAAATTCTTATTTAACATGTCTAGTGAAATAGTCAGTATCAGGATTTTCTTTTTTCTTTAATCAGACTGAAAATGCAGCAAGTGCAAAGGTGCAATCTCTAACGAGCTTTGAGTTTTCAAATGGAAGTCACTAGAGATGGCTTTCCAAACGCTGAAGCTAAGAAGAACAGTAAAGAAAAAGAATCTTTTAACGTTTGTTTATTTAGGAGCTGCATGAAAATTTGGAACAAATTATTATTTCCTATTATCTAGGGATCTACATTAGTAGAAATCTCTGCGTTGGAGTCCAATTACTATAGAAATTAAGAGTCTTTATTGTACTTTCAAGGGATCTATCACTTGATCAATAAAACTGAGAAAGAACCATTCTCGACGATTTCTAATAATTATAAATTTAAAAATCAAATAAGAATATATAAATCATTCAATTGCAAAGAATTTGGAGGCTGAATTGAATGCAAATAAAATACAAGGAACACGTTCCATTTTCCAGGTATTTGTTAGAGACTTTCGGATGCAAGTTTATGGTGTACCATTTTCTAAATGAGCATTTGAGATTCCAAGCAAATATACATGCAATGTTTGCAGGAAATAAAAATAACCAAAGGGGTCCAATTAAACAATTCAACTTAGGCTTGAGTTCAGGTTGGTCAGTAAATTTCATTTTCCAAACAACTTTAGTTACCTCTAAAATTTATTCACTGTTGGTGCAATTTAGTCAATCCTCTACCATATTCAATGGATATATAACGTTACAGCCTAATTTTAGATTTAAATTAAAAACTTTGTAACTTGTTCTTATTCAAATCCAACAATGACAATATTCAATAATATAATTTAGTCACTGTTTGGCAATGGGATTGACAGAATTACAGCAATAAGGACCAAAAAGCATATGGAACTAAAATTAGAGTGACAAAATTGGAGCAAATTCTAGTTTTGATAACAAATTAAACTCATTTGAGTGACGAAATGTGAAATATACCCTAAACAAAGATATGAAATCCTACCAAGACTTTTGCTTGCCTTTTCTCCCATCGAGAACTTGCCTGACCACACAAGAAGTGTAAAATCAGTATGTGAGAATAATGGTAAAATGAAATAACTTTTATGTGTTAATGGGAGGACTTCTTTTCATTCCATCAATAAGACTGATTCTCTCTGCTAAGCAATAAGATATTAAGAAAAGCAGAATGCAACATCATGAGAAATTCTGAACAGGAAAATGCATCAACAAAATCAATAATGAAAAGTAAAAATACAGTCAATGTTGCTAACTCTTACCATTCTGAAAACGTCTACTGACCTGGATCCCATTCCTGAAAGCATCAGTGCAACCTGATCATCATTCATAACACCTACGTTTCAGCCATTGAGATGGAAAAGTGAAACACAAGTACCATAAAAGAGAAAGTTGCTATATGTACAGAAATTAAACGGAATTTCTGCAGTATTCAACATCAACAAATTACTAGTCGAGCCTGCCGCATATCATGTTATTTCTGTCATTATTTTCCTATTTAAAGCTGGAAAAAGAATGACTAAATATAAAATTTTATCCCTATTAATAGTATCATCTTGTGAATTATGGCTAATAACAGGTATATAAGCAGTGATTTCAAATCCAGAGACTAATTGTACTCTAGCAACTTTACATCAGGCAGAGTTTGGTTTGTTTGGGTGACAGTGGAAAAGTTGACAGATAAGTCACCATCACTGCCACTCTGCAGACTCAGATAACTGGTCAAGTTCCCATGTGTTACACTCAGTAGACACCAACATGCCTTGAGATCCTATCCACGCATCTATTGTTCTTAGGACTAAGAACTTTCAAGTAAGAGTTTTTTTTTTTCCCTTAAAGAAATATAAAAATAAGAACACAATATTATTAGAGTGAGAAGTTGAAAGCGTGTAAAAAGTGTTCCTTACATTTACTCTTTCTACTCTGCGCATTTCATCCTCAAGCAAAGATAGTTGTGCTGCAGAAGTCCAATGGATACAATCAACTGGGCTGAAGGACAAGAACTTACAGATTAGTATATAAATCTTTTATTTAAATACCTAAATCCGCATTTTTTGCAATCAAGTGTTTGAAGATGAAAAATATTTCCAATCCAGTTAAGAGAGCATATCAAAGGATATCTATGAAATATACCAACTTTCAATTGCCTGTTGCACTAATTCAGTGTTTCCACACTGGCTGTAGACTCTAGCTCTTCCAAAGTCTTCCTCAAGTCCAAATACATCTGGGGCCACATTGCAACAATTCTTGCAGCCTGCAGTAGATATATATAAATAAGAGTGTTCTGAAGTTTAATTATTAGGGCTAATTATTAAAAATAAAAAAGATTCAACTTTAATATTTTCAAAGGAACTCTTTATTTTGGTAATTTCAAAAAGGTTTTCAAATTCCACCACCGACCTAATCGTAGACAAAAATAGACCCGAATTTACAAGCTTGGCAAGCTAAATGCGTTAACTGTTTTTGGTTGACTTGTATTACCAGGTCCAAAGTTGTGTGATATTCACATAAAATATTTTATCATGATAATTTTTCCAGTGTGTAACAAAAAATAAATAAATAAATAAACAAATCAAGCTTAATTTTTTAACTAGCCATGTGAACAACTTCAAGCTTAGTTTAGCAAAAATTTTAAAAAATAGTTTCTAGAATTAAAAAAGAGACCTATGCAGCTAAACTCATCGACAAATGCAAGATCCCTTGGAGCGGAATCATCCAAGAAAGGATTAATTGCCGTCAAAGCATAGCCATGAATTTCATCATAAACCATGCGCTGCACAGGATCACTTAAAACCTGCAATGCAATTATATCACACATAACAAATTAGTTTAAAATACAAGAAATTAGTAACATAATAAAATAAGAGTTTGGATTAGAAATGAAATAAAAAAACTCACAGCATAGACTTCATTAATGAACATGCAGAAATTATTAGTTTGGGGATCATTTCCACTCAAATCTGGATGACATTCTTTCATGCAATTATAATATGCTTTCTTAATCTGCTCTGGCGTAGCATCTGGAAGCTGTTCAACAATCAGTATAAATAAAAAGATCAAGGCGAATTGAACCTTTTTTTATCGATTTTAGCAGAAATTTTCAACTAAAATATCAATTTTGTCTACTTTTTTACGTTTACGGACAAACTGAACATTATTATTATGAAATAAATGATTACCAGACCAAGAACAGCATAATAGTCATCGGCAACAGGCGAATCATCGGTTGCAACCCTTAGTCTGCGAAAGGCATGAGAAGGTGATCTTCGCTTCCAACACCAACTTGTGACGCTCTTTGGTTGGGTTGAACCACCCACTCTCAACCATGGACTCCAAATTTTAAGACCGTCTGTGCATACTGTAGAACGCAATTGTGCCATCAATTACTTGTTGCTGCTGCTGCCCAATCGAATCGTGTAATGCAAGATAGTTCTCCTTTTATCAGCCTCTTCGATTTTTGTTTTTCTTTTTTAAATTTCCGGATATTTTAAAATTTTGAGGAGGGAGAAATTTTGGCGTGGAAGTCAGAAATGCTGACATGGCAAATTCAGAGCCTTGCGTTGGGACGAATCTTCTCAACTTTTCTATTATTAATTCATTAACTAATAACTAAATTTTTTTAGAAGGATAACTAATTATTTTATTTTATTACCACCGATGCAATTTGGTGAAGCCAATGATACTGATGTAAGTAAAATATTGATTATATTTTGTTCAATCAATAATGTAAATTATGAAATTCATATTATATAAATTATTCAAAGGGCAGTGTTGAATGACTTATTATGATCTGGAAACCACCTTTTTGGAAAAAAAACCACTTTAAGGTTTTGGTAGAAATATAATATTGTCCTTTAATTGTTTTAGGAGAAACCATTATGAAGCTATTTTATATTTATTGATTGTATTGGCAACACCGTGAAAAATACTTATTACTTGTACTATTACTAGAACTATTAATTATAGGCCTCATTTCTCTTTGTCCTGAGAAAACAAATTGAAAATTAGGTTATTGGGTTGATGATAGAAAAGTCTAGGCCTATGGGCATTTTCCCAGTAAATGAATAGCCCTAAACGTCATCGTATAAGTATTTAAGGGCAGTAAAAATATGAAGTTTTATTCACATGAAGGCTATATATAGCACATAGCTGTTATTGTAATGATATATATATATATATATATATATATGATCTGAAAAAGTTCATTGTTATTTTGAATTGGAAATTAATGTAGAAGCAAAAGAGCACTTTGTAAAGTAAAGGAATCAAATCAACAGAGGTGAAACTATAGAAGCTAAATTATAGAAGCTTGAATTATTGAAGCTTATGATGGACTTTATACTAGAAGAAAATGTTTAATACAACAACTATTTGGTAGTAGCGACAATGAGAGTGACTTTGAACTATCTAGAGAATCCAGTGAACTAGAAAATGAAGTTGTGGAGTTAGTTACTGAACAAGAAAGTGTTGACGAAGGCGTATAATATGATTTTGGTGGATTAAAAGTTGATTTACGATGCATTATAAGGATCGAAACAAGGAATGAATTTTCCATTGATTGAATCTTTGTATGAGTTTTACGAAGAGCATGGAAGGCTGAAAGGATTTGGTGTGACAAAGAAATCAGCATATAAGTATGGTGGTACATATAAGTACCAGGTTATTACTTGTGATACGTATCGAAAACTACATGATGAAACTAGAAAATGAAGTTGTGGAATTAGTTATTGAACAAGAAAGTGTTAACAAGGCGGATAATACGATTTTGGTGGATTAAAAGTTGATTTGCGATGCATTGATAAAGGATCAAAACAAGGAATGAATTTTCCATTGATTGACTCTTTGTATGAGTTTTACGAAGAACATGGAAGGTTGAAAGGATTTGGTGTGACAAAGAAATCGGCATATAAGTATGGTGGCACATATAAGTACCAGATTATTACTTGCGATAAGGTTCGAAAACTACATGATGAAAGGACAAGCAAAAGGATAGATTGTCCTCCAAGAGTGCATGCAAGTTTGAGAAGAACAGGGATGTGGGTGGTTACAAAGGTAGTTCGAGACCATAATCATGATTTAGAACCTTCCATGTCTAGGTTAATGATAGGTGTCATTTTTACAGTATTTTAAGTCTAGTTTTTATTTAGAATTTTAGTAAATTTTATCACTTTAATTTATTTTTACTTCGTTTTAATTATAATTTTTGTTCAAAGCTTCCTTGAATCATAAGAATTTTTTAGTAAATTTTATCACTATTAATTTATTTTTACTTACGTTTTAATTATTAATTTTTGTTCAAAGGCTTCCATGAATCATAATCCACCTTTGATATGAAAAAATTGTACAGTTTTGGCCACAGGAAAAGAGCATTACAAGCAAAATACTAGGCTGAGCACCCCAGCCCCATGCAGCCATAAACACGCCCGTGCTAAAAACTTAAGAGAAATCAAGTGGAGAGTCAGAGGCTACACAGCTAGGCCCGTTGCTATATGGCCGCCCATGCCCAAAAGAACCTCAGGGCCGTATTGCCTAAGCACGCCAGTGATGGAATCTATCTTGGAAGGTTCAGAAGCTAGACGCCCGAGCCGTGCTAGGGCGCCATGCGCCCGTGCCACAAAGACTCTTCTGAGAGTGTGCCAGAACACGGCCCGTGCTAAATCATTCATAGACCAGACTCTAGCAACGGGCCCAAGCCGTTGCTAGATGGCACGCCCGGCTACGCAAGCAGATCAGACTTGAACTAAAAAAACGCAAAAGACAATCTTTTCTCACATGGGCCCGCCTCAGGTATATCCTAAACATGCAAAACAACAAGAACCTTAAACCTATTTAGGAAAAGAGAAGAGTCCAATTAAGAAGAAATTCCAAGGCCTAATCAATTATGATCTCCAAAGAAGATTTCCGTACTTTAATAAAGGATTCTATTTTCCTAAATCGGACTCAGATTTTCCTCCAGGAGGTCTATATAAAGAGGGAGCTATTCCATTGTAGAGATATCGAGGGAATCTAGGATTTTTACATAGGTCTCTCTCTCAAAGATTTTCAAGCGTTCCAAGTTTGTGCCAAGATTCAGGAAAGCCATCCACATAGCATTGTGCAGTTGTTATTTCTAAAACTCTTAATCTTTGCTCTCTTTTCATTATTCATTATGATTATTGAAAAGCTTTTATTCAAGCATTATTGATTTTTTATTAATTACTATGTCAAGCTAAAACTCTCATATTAGGGATTTGATGTAGCTGTAATTCGATTCCAATTTATAATATTAGATTTTGCTTTTCCTTGTTCTTGCCTATAATTTATTGGTTGAACTTAAAGCTTCCAGGCAGAGTTTATCCCCTGGATTTATTTATCATTTAATCACTTATCGGATAAAAGAACGATTTTTGATACGAAAAAGGTAATAAATTACATGAGAATAATAACTTGATGCGGAAGTTATAGGGTTTGACTCAGGGGGTTTTCATAAGTTAATTGACCTGGGTTTATGAATTTCCAAAACAAAACCATAAAACTTTAATGATTTAATATCATGTTTGATTTGCGTATTGAAGATAGGTAATTAGAACTGGATTAGAATAGCTAACAAACATCCGGAGAGCTGTTATGACATTTTAGGTTGTTTCCCCTACTTGAACAATTAAAATTGATTAACAAACTAATTAAAATAAATGGATATAATTAAGGTTGAAATTCAATATCCCTAGTAGTTTTAATCCTTGATCTCTTTTCATCTAAATTTTTAATTGTTGATTTCTTTCGTTTTATTTTTCGAATTTTATATATTTTTTTTATAATCAAATCTCTCTATTTGTCGTTTAAATAATAATAGGTTAACATAATTTGGGTACTTGATATACAATCTCTGTGGAACGATACTTTTTCTCACTTCTATCATTACTTGTTGCGATTTCGTTACATTGCGGAAAATCACTGTCAAGTTTTTAGCACCCGTTGCCGGTTGACATTATCAATATCAATACTAATTTATCTATTGTTAATTTAGAAATTATTTTTATTTTAATTAAAATTTTCTTTTAAAGAATTATCAGGTGTGTTATGCAAAGAAGATTTCAGGTAGGACTGAACCTTTAGTGTTTTGATTTCCAGAAATGAAGAACTTTATCGTAGGAAACAAACACTTGCAAATAAGAGGCACCGTGAAATTAAAACCACCGAACAATTAAGCAGGACATGGTCAACCGGAAAGCGAAATAGAAGACGGACCTCCACTTCAAACATCGGTTCCGCACCTTGCGAGGACTACACAACACCTAATCTTAATTGGGTACCAACCTCGGTATATACCAAGACCTCGGGAGTGGAAGCTAATAATTTTGAAATCAAACCCACAATTAATCCAAATGCTTTCCACCTCAATCCAATATTGGGTTGCCTAGTGAAGATCCTAACACTCCATATCACAAATTTCCTGAAAAATTTGCGACCACCTTTTCAAAAAGAACGGGTTTCTGAAGATGCCATAAACTGGAGACTTTTCCCTTTCACTTTAGGGGACAAAGCACGATCTTGGTTACAGTCATGCCCCCGCTGGAAGTTTCACAACATAGGAAGAATAGCCCAAAGGTTTTTAGCAAAATTCTTTCCCATCTTTAAAGACACAAAACTACGCAATGAGATATGACATTTGCTTCACCATGATCAAGAAAGCTTGTATGAAGTTTGGAGAAAGATTCAAGGACTTGCTGAGAAAGTGCCCACATCACAGTTTGCCAACTAGTTACAGGTACAAACTTTCTATTAATGCATTTATCTCCTAACATAAAATCACTTTAGATGCAAGCTGCTGTTGACGCGTAATTTATGCCCCACCTGACCCGATGATGATTATGAGGATAAAGGATTAAGGTTTCACGATTAACCAGAAGTGTTTAAACCAAAATCTGAATTCAAATCGGCCAAAGGAGCCATGGCCCACGTTTAGGGTTTGCGTCACGCACTACTACCTGCGGTGACGCACTCTTAGTTGTGTTTTACCCCGTAAACGTGAAAATCGGTATTTGATTTTATTTGGTTTTTATTTTGTTTTGAAAAAGAGGTGAATTAAAAACTTTTTTGGATATGACCCGAGGTGCGATAAATCGGTCTTATAAATCATTTTTATTGCCACCCATTATTTCGGCCCAATGGACCCGTTTCCCAATTTTATTTTATAAAAGTGACTTCATTTAACCCAATTTTATTTAAGGCCAAATTATTTTGAAAGAAAACTGGTTCAGGCCTACCGAGTACGATTCAGGTAAGGGAATTAGTACGTCGGCCCGTTGGAAAAGCCGACGCCCGAAAAAATCGGCCTCTTTTAAACCTTACGATTATCTTAATTGAATTTTATTTTAGAAAAAGCCAATTATTTAAACCC